CGGATATTATCGAGAGGTCGTCTGCGTGTGCGAGTATATGTGTGTGTGTTCGAAAGCGAGTGAATTCTGTCACCCGCTTTCAACTCAGCAACCAGAACTTCCGGGGAAACATCCCCTTCCCATGTGTCACGCTCCCATTTTAAAACTTCCCTCATACGCCACCAGAATTCGCGTACGGAAGCTCAAGAAAAATATGCAGATTTCCTGGACAGGCAAGGAAAGACCAAAATACAAGCACATCAGTTGCGCGTTTTAAACTGTAAAGCTGTAAAGCAGTTTAAAACGCACAACTGATGTGCTGATCACGTCAAATTTAGCGTAAAAACACATAGTCGCATGCACACCTGGTGCTTTGTTAAATCAGTTTTATTAGAAGGTGGCCCCCAGTTTAAATATGTAAAATAGGCCTACGTGTCGCCAAAGGTTGCCCATGTCTGGTTTAAAAGCATCCCTTCCTCTCCCACTAACCGGTGTTGATATGAAGAAAATTATTCGAGTCGAAAGTGCCTGAAGAGTTACCGTTTGCTCCAAGAAGCCTGGCTGCACGCCATCAGAAACGACAAGGACCGAAACATCCCTGTCCAGCAGTTTCATTTCAGTCTGATGCTTTTCCTTAAAATTTACTAGAACACACTTGTAGACCACTGATTGGTGCCTTCTGAAGAGGGCGCATGCTGGACAATTCAGAAGAGGAGAGCTTTGGCGGAAAATATTTACGAATAGCATAAAATTTATTATTACATCCGAAAAATGCAACAATCAGTACATAACAAAATAAAAATTCGGTAAGTTCGCACTCGAACAGAAAAATTTGGATAAAAGACATCCGACTGGCAGCCCGTCTGAAACAGTCCATCAACGAGCAGCACAATAACGCAAATCACAATTTCATGCAATCATCTCCGTACAATAATTCACTTCATTTCATTTTATTCTTAAAAAATAGAGAGAAAGGCGGGACAGTGCCGAGAAAGTACAAAGAGAAGGAAAAAATCAACTGCATGTAAACAAAGAAACAAGAAAGATTGAGTTACTAAACTCGGGCTGTCCAAAACAAAGGCAACGGGCGGTGGATCTGAGCCGATGGAGGTAAATCTAATAGAGCCGATGGAAGTAAATCTCAAGTAAAATCTAGGTGATCATGGGAAAAACGGCGCGCCCGGATTCAAGGTAACTGAACTCATTCAGGTAACCTCTGCTTCCGGTGCTTCGGCGGATGCTACAAAAAGCCAAATTTTGCTTGATGTGGACCCGGTGAAACGTATGCAAACTTGAAAACAACGACTGATCATTTAGTGCCGGCGGGTTTCTTCGCTGCTTCTTCAGCCTCGGCTTCCGCCCTTTCCGCATCAACAATTTTGATCAGTTCTTCCACCTCTTCAATCGGTAAAATCCGATAGTCCACTGTACGCCCCTGAAAATTAGAAAAACCAGGAGCTACAGTAAAATAATTTACACTTCAGAAGAATTACAATTCAGTAAAAGTAGCCTAACAGAACAACCTGGTGACAATCTTTCAAGCAGATCCTAACTTCACACTTCCTCCTCTTACTACTAATGATGACAAGTAGTTATCATCGATTATTATGCGTTTTGTGCTGTGTAACAGCGTTATAAAACGCATATTGTCACGGAGCTGTCATGTGTGTGCGTTCGTGTGTATGTGTGTATGTGTTTGTGTGTGTGTCCTACATTTTGTCGCGCACTTTCAACTCGGGAACCACAAAAGCTAGGCGGCTGAAATTTTGGTATAGTG